AACTACCAACAAATCTGATATCATTTCCGTTTCCCCGAAAGAAATGGAGATTTATTGAATTCAAGACAGTTTGAATTTAAAACAATTTAGATACGTTCTTTGTAAGATTTAAATAAGGTAAAGGCTTCCTCAGAAATTAAACCATTAGAAGAAGAGCTGAATATCGCAAATAAATGTCTGATAAGATAATATATATATCTACAAAACTATATTGAAAATATCGCTAACATTCATACCTTCATATATATTTTAATGCAGGGTATTATAATTTTATTCAGAAGCTCAAAACACAGCAAAGGACTCATTTCCGACCCTATAAATCATATATATTCTTGATCAGAATGAAAATCCAAATCGATCTAGCCATGTTTGGTAGAAAAAAAATTTTCGAACATTTTTTTTCAAATTTTGTGGTTAAATTTCATATTGTAAAGTTGCGAAATTTGACAAAATTGGAATTCCTTTCGATTTTAAAAATTAGTATGCAGATTTGTTAACATTATCAAAACTAACACAGAGCAGCTCTCCGAATTGAAATTAATGCATTTTTCACTTAGTTATGAATTTTTTAAACTTTAATGTATCATGAAAATTGTCATATAAAATATTGATAAATATAAATTAAAGAATAGTATTATAATTTCAGTCAGAAGCTGTTAACGCTTGGAATATCAATTTCCAACCCTATAAACCATATATATTCTTGATCAGAATAAGCAGCCGAATCGATTTGGACATGTTTGGGAGAAAACATTTTTTTTAATTTATTTTCGAATTTTTATGACTAAATTTTATATTGTTAAAGTTGCAAAATTTGACAAAAAGTTAATTTTATTAAATCATAAAACTAAGTATGCAGTTTTGTTAGCCTTATGAAAACTAGGACAGAACAGTTTTCCGAAGTAAAATTAATGCATTTTTGGCTTAGTTATGTATTTTTTAAACTTTGTTTTGTCTTATAAAATTATCGATAAATATTAGCTCAAAGAATGGTATTAAAATTTTAGTCAGAAGCTTGTAATTCTTGAAAGAGCCATTTCCGACCCTGTAAATCATATATATTTTTGATCAGCATCAAAAGCCGAATTGATCTAGCTATATTTGGGAGAAACAAAATTTTTTGAATTTATTTCGAATTTTTTGTCATTAATTCTTGTATTGTTAAATGGTCAAAAATTGACAAATTTCAAATTTTGTAAAACTTTAAATCTAAATATGCAGATTGTTTAACATTATCAAAACTAGCACAAAACAGCTTTCCGAATCAAAATTAATGGATTTTTGGCTTAGTTATGATATTTTAAAAACTTTGATTTTGACTAAAAATTTGTATCTAAAAATATCGATTTAAAAGAGATATATTTTAGGTTTTATTGTGCTTCAAATATTGATAAAGCATCGATAATTATATAGCTAGAAGCTGTTTATAAACTTTAAAGTAAGCATTGTCTCTTCTCTTTAAATGTTCTTGTAATCCTTCTGCCTGGCTCTAAAATGTATCCCTTTTCTTATGCTAAAATGTACTGAAAAAGTAACTTAAACTTCTCTCAGTGTGCCTGTGTGTGTTGGCCTGGTCAGCAAGTGTAAACGTGGGGATGTTGACCCGTATATGTATAAGCCACAGATATGCACAGATTTCCCATTGACAGGGACTTTCGCTCTTTTTCGTGACTCCAAGGAATGCGAACCCGAAAAGGAGGAATGGGAATGGTAATGGGAATGCGAAGGAGGAGTCTCCTCCTTGTAGATTTGGATTAAAATTCAAGCTCCTCCCTGCTATTAATATTCCATTGCGTATTCGCGCGCACAAGTAAGAGAGAGAATATATATTCCATTTTTAATAACACGAAACTTTATGAAAATTTTATATATACAACATAAAGGGCAGGAAGGGAATCCAGAATCTTGGAATCTCCTGGAATCCTTCTCGCAGAAACAGAAAGCCAACACGGTTATAAACTCAAACTTGAACCGAGCAAAAAGGTAGAATCCAAATGCTTTGGAACCGAACTCAACTCAAGTGAAGTGATGGGAGTCACCTCCGCACAAAAGAAAACAAAAGGGGAAAAAACAATTGAAATGTGAATATTAAATATATATACAAGTACAAGTTGTGCTCTCTCCTGTAGAAAAACTCCCACATCCCACAAACTCCCCGCGGCGTCATTGTGCTCCCTTTGCAGGTGGCAGGCGGGAAAATGCCATTTGATGGCATTTAGATGGGATCGCTGATTGATGTTACTGGCTTCTACTCCTCTTTGAATTCCCAAAGCCAGACCCGTGCTCGAGGCACACTCCTGATTCCTGATTCCTGATTCCTGTTCCCTGCTCTACGTGGGTTCGCTTAAGAAGTTAGCAAAACGGTGGATCCGAGGAGAGTTTAGATATCTTGAGTCCTTGACTTTCAGCAATAAAAAGAGTGGGCAAAAGATTTAGTTACCTTCAAAGGCAGGCTTAGAGGTTCAAGGTTCTAGGTTCTTTCTTTCGCTAAACAACTTCGATTAAGAAATTGAATTACTTATCCATCAGGAATTAAAACGGTATTAAAAGAGAATGGCTTCTGTAATTTATTCACATTGCTCTTTCAGCCAACCGATAACTTAATCTAAGCCACGTCCACGTCCCTTTTACAGATCACTCCGTTTTCTTTCACATGGTCCTATATCAACCTATATATAAGCCAGGACTTTACATGACCAACCAGCAGGAGCAGGAGCAGGAGCAGGAGCACCGGGTAGTCCTGCTTGCACTCGGCATATGTGTAATGCATGCAACGAGGCACATTAATTAAATAAAAATTGATTTTCCAAGCGCATGAAATGCAATCAACGGCCGGGGCTTCAAGTGGGTCCATGTGGCCTGGATCCCCGGCCTGGATTTACAACCCAACTCGGGAAGCTGGTAGCTGGTAGCTGGACTTGGATAGCCAGGGTACCCTGCACTCTGCTCCACTCTGCCGTGTTGTCAAATGGAGTTAACAAAGTTTACGCTTTTTGCGCGCTGCTGTCTCTGCTGCTGCTGGCCAGGCTTTATTTTTTTATATTTTTTGTGGCCCTCCTTGTCTTTTTTTTACAGGTATATATATATATACTATATTTTTTTATTCCTGCCTCGTATGCATAAGTACATAATGTGCAGCTGGCTGGACATGGCTGGGAGTTCTTGGGGGTCGCTTGGGTTTCGCCTTTTATCCATTTTGGCCACAACGGCGGCAATGAGTTTAATGTGCGCTGTCGCTTTTTGGCCGTATTTAAACCACAGCAAGTCATCAGGCAAATTGAATTTTCAACGTATGGTCGCACATTGCGTTGCAACAGTCCGTGTCAGGATATCTCCTCCTGAATCCTGCCTTCATTTTGTTCTTAACCCTATATTAAGGGAACTTTTGTATTGTATAAAAGCGGAAATTTAGTTTAGAAATCTTTTCTTAGACAATACAAGTTAACCTTGAACAAAATATACACAATGAACCCTTTGTAAATTACTAAAAAATATTATATTTAGATTAAACATTTATCTAGCTAGGATTATACATCAATATGTCTTGGTTTAACTTCTTAAACCCCATGTAGAAAGTCACACCATTGACTTATCTATAAATATCAGTCTTTAGCCAGTTAATGTTTTTAGTTATTAGCTTTAAAAAACAGAGAGAAGCAGAGACCCGTCTAGACCTTAAGTGGAAAATGAGCTTTTTGGTTTTTTCCTGATGCCTGAAGGCACTGCTCGGGTGTTAGGGGGTTAAGCTTGTGTCAGTGGCTGTATAACATTTCCATCTCGCTCTTATCAGTACGGTCAGCAACTGTCTTTTATATATATACAAATATATATATATATATATATATATATAGAGGGACATAGTCCCCCTTAGAAAACCCCGCCCCTGTGCATTTGCTTGCTTCGTTTCTCGTTACAAAATTACCCACGATAAAATTGAATTACTTCGTCGTCGTTGTCGTGGTCTCCCTGTTTTCACTCCCTGGAAAGTGTTGTGCTTACTCTTGACGCGCCCATGTCCCCGTCCTTGATCCTGGCGCCTTTCTCTCCACTCCACTCCCTACTTATGGACGACACTGAAACTGTCGCCAGGCCTGGAGTCCTGTGTGACTCTGTCTAATGATAAATGAGCTGCAATGGATGACAGCGAATCAACTTAAGTGTATTGCTCTGCTTCACTCCCCACTCTCTGGGCTTTCGCTTCGAATCCGAGCTGCTCCAAACAACTCTGGGACTCCTCCGACTCTGACTCCAGCTCCATCTCTGCCTTCTGGCCACCATGGAGCCAGCCAATGCACTTTCCCCTTAACGCTTTTTTGCTCGTGTTTACGTTTCACTTCAAATTCTATGCTACACTAAATATTTACATAGGAAAAAAACTTGGCAAGTGTAAGTGAGATGCTTTAAAGAAACAGCGGCGGCGGAAACTTTGCCAAAGTTCCTTCACTCATTATGCTGAAGGAGGAGGATAGGCGGCGGGCATAATCAGCAAATTGGAAGGAACTAAGGTTGGGTTATCTTGGCCAAAAGAAAAATAACACAAAAAGACAGAAAGAAAAAAGTGGTGACTAGGCTAGACTCGAAACAGCTGCGCAAAGAACCCATTAAGCAAGTTCAAAGAGGCGAAATATGATAGTTCTTAGGGATTTTTAAGATATCATTTAAAAGGTTCTAGGACTTAAACTTAGACTTGAGTAAAAACATAATCATAAAGGGCGTGGAGTTAGGATCTTTCCCTATAGAGCTAGAGCTCTTGGAAAGATCTTTGTCTGTATAATAATAAGATGCATAATTCCCTTACTTATTATTTCAGGTGTTATACATCTTATTAATATATTTTCATCACCATCTCTTTCTTTCACTTTGCATGCAATGTACAAGCAATAGATAAAGAGTTACATGTTAATTACTTAAAAATAGTTAAAAACTATAAAGAAACTTCCTTTTTTTGCCAGATTCTTAAAAAGTTCGAAGATTTATTTATTTGAAAAGGAAAAAAAAGTATATATTTAATATGTATTTAAAATAAATTGCAATAAATTAGGTAGGACCAAGGTTTAAGGATAGAATATCATTGCCAATATAGAGAATACATTTAGATTGAGTGAGATTATCATACGGATGCAGCAGCAGTTTTGATTCCCCGTTTCGGTGGGCGTTCTCTACCCTCCTCCGACTACCTACTTCTCCAGGCAGCGGGCCACGTCCTTGTCCACACATGCCTGGGAGAGCCAGTCGAAGCGCTCCTTCTTGGGACAGCGCAGGTGGGCGTACTTGTGCTTGCCGGACTTCTTCACCTCGCAGCGGTAGTACTTGCGGCAGTCACGGACATCGGGATAGATGTCCTCCTCGTCGCACTCGTCACCCTTCTTCAGCTTCTTGACCAGATCCTTGATGTACTGCTTGCGCTCCTTGGAGCTTGGCTCGTCCTCGCTCTCGTTGTCCTTCTGCGACTCGGCCTCCTTGTCCTCCTTGGAGTCCTTGGACTTTTCCTTCTCCTTCTCCTTGCTGTCCTTGTCCTTGTCCTTCTCCTCAGAGTTGGGCTTCTTCTGCTCCTGCTCCTTCTCCTTGGACTGGTCTTCGTTGGACTTGGGCTTATCCTTGGATTTCTCGCCAGAGGCCTTGTTGCTCTCCTCAACGGAGGCGTTCTCGTTGGACGCTGGCGGAGCTGGGGCAGCCTGCTCTACGCTCTCAGCGGTCTCGGGACTGTTGTTGCTCGGCTGCTCCGACTGTCCTGGTTGCTGAGGTTGTTGGGGATTCTGAGCAACCTGAGGCTCTTGGGGCTGTTGGGGATTCTGAGGAACCTGAGGCTCTTGGGGCTGTTGGGGGTTCTGGGGAACCTGAGGCTCTTGGGGCTGTTGGGGAGGAGTCTCAGTTACTGGCTTCTTGGTCGTGCGCCAGCCATTCACCCAGTTTTGCCAGTTAGGCCAGAAGGGAAATGGACGACGGGGAGGAATAGGGTTGACGTTTCCATTGTTTACTCCACTGCCAGGAGCACCAGCTCCGGCGTCGGCGCCATTTTGTCCCGGAAGTTGGGGTCTCCAGTTGGGTGGCAGGATCGGAATGTTCGGACGGTTGTGCCACGGCCAAGAGCCAGGTCCAACAGGAAGCGATGGAATCGATGGAATGACTCCAGCAGGTGTGTTAGGATCGGCAGGAGTTCCAGGGACAGCACCAGCGCCAGATCCAGGAGCACCACCAGCAGGGGCATTGGGGTCAACAGGAGCACCACCAGCAGGGGCATTGGGATCAGCAGGAGCACCTCCAGCAGGGGCATTGGGATCAGCAGGAGCACCTCCAGCAGGGGCATTCGGGTCAGCAGGAGTTCCAGGGGCAGCACCAGCACCAGATCCAGGAGCACCACCAGCAGGGGCATTGGGGTCAACAGGAGCACCACCAGCAGGGGCATTCGGGTCAGCAGGAGTTCCAGGGCAGCACCAGCACCAGATCCAGGAGCACCACCAGCAGGGGCATTGGGGTCAGCAGGAGCACCACCAGCAGGGGCATTGGATCAGCAGGAGCACCTCCAGCAGGGGCATTCGGGTCAGCAGGAGTTCCAGGGGCAGCACCAGCACCAGATCCAGGAGCACCACCAGCAGGGCATTGGGGTCAACAGGAGCACCACCAGCAGGGGCATTCGGGTCAGCAGGAGTTCCAGGGGCAGCACCAGCACCAGATCCAGGAGCACCACCAGCAGGGGCATTGGGGTCAGCAGGAGCACCACCAGCAGGGGCATTGGGATCAGCAGGAGCACCTCCAGCAGGGGCATTCGGGTCAGCAGGAGTTCCAGGGGCAGCACCAGCACCAGATCCAGGAGCACCACCAGCAGGGGCATTGGGGTCAACAGGAGCACCACCAGCAGGGGCATTCGGGTCAGCAGGAGTTCCAGGGGCAGCACCAGCACCAGATCCAGGAGCACCACCAGCAGGGCATTGGGGTCAACAGGAGCAGCAGGGCATTGGATCAGCAGGAGCACTCCAGCAGGGGCATTCGGTCAGCAGGAGTTCCAGGGGCAGCACCAGCACCAGATCCAGGAGCACCACCAGCAGGGGCATTGGGGTCAACAGGAGCACCACCAGCAGGGGCATTCGGGTCAGCAGGAGTTCCAGGGGCAGCACCAGCACCAGATCCAGGAGCACCACCAGCAGGAGCATTGGGATCAGCAGGAGTTCCAGGGGCAGCACCAGCACCAGATCCAGGAGCACCACCAGCAGGGGCATTGGGGTCAGCAGGAGCACCACCAGCAGGGGCATTCGGGTCAGCAGGAGTTCCAGGGGCAGCACCAGCACCAGATCCAGGAGCACCACCAGCAGGAGCATTGGGATCAGCAGGAGTTCCAGGGGCAGCACCAGCACCAGATCCAGGAGCACCACCAGCAGGGGCATTGGGGTCAGCAGGAGCACCACCAGCAGGGGCATTCGGGTCAGCAGGAGTTCCAGGGGCAGCACCAGCACCAGATCCAGGAGCACCACCAGCAGGGGCATTGGGGTCAGCAGGAGCACCTCCAGCAGGGGCATTGGGATCAGCAGGAGCACCTCCAGCAGGGGCATTGGGGTCAACAGGAGCACCACCAGCAGGGGCATTCGGGTCAGCAGGAGTTCCAGGGGCAGCACCAGCACCAGATCCAGGAGCATCACCAGCAGGGGCATTGGGGTCAACAGGAGCACCACCAGCAGGGGCATTCGGGTCAGCAGGATTTCCAGGGACAGCACCAGCACCAGATCCAGGAGCACCACCAGCAGGGCATTGGGGTCAACAGGAGCACCACCAGCAGGGGCATTGGGTCAACAGGAGCACCTCCAGCAGGGGCATTGGGGTCAACAGGAGCACTACCAGCAGGGGCATTGGGATCAGCAGGAGCACCTCCAGCAGGGGCATTGGGATCGGCAGGAGTTCCAGGGGCAGCGGTGGATCCTTCTACAGGAGCACCAGGGGCAGCGGTCGATCCCTCAACAGGAGCACCAGGGGCAGCAGTTGATCCTTCAACAGGAGCACCAGGGGCAGCGGTCGATCCCTCAACAGGAGCACCAGGGCATCGGTAGATCCCTCAACAGGAGCACCAGGGCAGCGGTTGATCCTTCAACAGGAGCACCAGGGCAGCAGTAGATCCTCAACAGGAGCACCAGGGGCAGCGGTGGATCCTTCAACAGGAGCACCAGGGCAGCGGTCGATCCCTCTACAGGAGCACCAGGGGCAGTAGTCGATCCTTCTACTGGAGCACCAGGGGCGGCGGTTGATCCTTCAACAGGAGCACCAGGGGCAGCGGTGGATCCCTCAACAGGAGCACCAGGGGCAGCAGTTGATCCCTCTACAGGAGCACCAGGGGCAGCGGTAGATCCCTCAACAGGAGCACCAGGGCAGCGGTGGATCCTTCTACAGGAGCACCAGGGGCAGCGGTAGATCCCTCAACAGGAGCACCAGGGGCAGCGGTCGATCCCTCAACAGGAGCACCAGGGGCAGCAGTAGATCCCTCAACAGGAGCACCAGGGGCAGCGGTAGATCCTTCTACAGGAGCACCAGGGGCAGCGGTGGATCCTTCAACAGGAGCACCAGGGGCAGCGGTAGATCCCTCAACAGGAGCACCAGGGGCAGCGGTAGATCCTTCTACAGGAGCACCAGGGGCAGCGGTAGATCCCTCAACAGGAGCACCAGGGGCAGCGGTCGATCCCTCAACAGGAGCACCAGGGGCAGCGGTTGATCCTTCAACAGGAGCACCAGGGGCAGCGGTCGATCCCTCAACAGGAGCACCAGGGGCAGCAGTAGATCCCTCAACAGGAGCACCAGGGGCAGCAGTAGATCCCTCAACAGGAGTACCAGGGGCAGCGGTCGATCCCTCAACAGGAGCACCAGGGGCAGCAGTTGATCCTTCAACAGGAGCACCAGGGGCAGCGGTAGATCCTTCTACAGGAGCACCAGGGGTAGCGGTCGATCCCTCAACAGGAGCACCAGGGGCAGCAGTTGATCCTTCAACAGGAGCACCAGGGGCAGCGGTAGATCCTTCTACAGGAGCACCAGGGGCAGCGGTTGATCCTTCAATAGGAGCACCAGGGGCAGCAGTAGATCCCTCAACAGGAGCACCAGGGGCAGCGGTAGATCCTTCTACAGGAGCACCAGGGGCAGCGGTTGATCCTTCAATTGGAGCACCAGGGGCAGCAGTAGATCCCTCAACAGGAGCACCAGGGGCAGCGGTAGATCCTTCTACAGGCACCAGCACGTATCCTCACAGGAGCACCAGGGGCAGCGGTAGATCCCTCAACAGGAGCACCAGGGGCAGCGGTAGATCCCTCAACAGGAGCACCAGGAGCAGCAGCGGTAGATCCTTCTACAGGAGCACCAGGGGCAGCAGTGGATTCCTCAACAGGAGCACCAGGGGCAGCGGTCGATCCCTCAACAGGAGCACCAGGGGCAGCAGTAGATCCCTCAACAGGAGCACCAGGGGCAGCGGTTGATCCCTCTACAGGAGCACCAGGGGCAGCGGTTGATCCTTCAACAGGAGCACCAGGGGCAGCGGTGGATCCCTCAACAGGAGCACCAGGGCAGCAGTTGATCCTTCAACAGGAGCACCAGGGGCAGCGGTCGATCCCTCTACAGGAGCACCAGGAGCAGCTGTGGTGCCATCACCCGGAGTTCCTGGTGCAGCGGTGGGTCTTTCAACAGGAGTTCCAGGAGCGGCGGTAGAGACATCAGCAGGTGTGCCAGGGGCAGCAGTTGTCACCTCGGGAACATTGGGGTCAGCAGGGAGGGTCGTTTCAGCGGGATTGGTGGTTTCAACTAAACCGGGTTCGTTAGTAGATCCTTCGGGTGCGTTGGGGTCCAGGGGTGTGTTGGGGTCGATGGTTGGGTTGGTACCGTCCGAGCCAGGCGCTAGAGTAGTATCAGCGGGAACGTTGGAATCCCAGGCAGCGTCGGTGGTTATCTCACCACCGGGAATTGTGATCGTGGTCTCCTCGATGGCACCGATAGTGGTGGTCTCGGCAGGAATCTGGGTGGTCTCTACCGGTGCGGCGGTTGTCACCTCCGGAGCTGGTGTTGTATCAACAGCAGCGCTAGATGCGACACTCGGTCCCTCGGTGGAGATCTCACTGCCGGCGACACCTCCAGAGCTGGAGGCATCCACCAGCGGAGCAGACTCGCTGACGGGGCTGTCGGTGATGGTTACCATCTTGGCCACAGCAGCTGTGGGTGCCTCGGCGGCAGCCGACTTCACTGGGACACAGATCTGAAGGCCCTCGGTGACGCAGCGAGTGTTCGGCTCGCAGGGAATCACTGGCCCAGTGGTGACATCGTCCAGGCAATCCTGATACGAAAGGGGACCCACGCAGACGGCGCTCTTGCCGCCGCACTTGAGTCCCGCGGCGGCTGCATTCGCCTGATGGCTGGCTACCAGCGAGGTTAGCTGCAATGGGGAAAACGGGAAGAGAGAGAGAGGAGAGGATGCCGGTTAGTGGAATTGGGATCCATCCAGGAACGGGGGATCGCACTGTGCACTGTTTGTCACTGCTGCATTAGCTTCACTTGCATAAGATACTTTCGATTGATCGCCGAGCGCTTTGAACGTTATCCAAAGTAGCAAGAGTCCCGGTAGCTACGGTAACGGATTCCGATTCGGTTTCGGATTTGGGATTCGGTTGATATTATTGGTTTGCGGTTATTTGCGAGGCATGTGTGCGTATCCAAGTGCCAATAAAATATATATATATACATATGTACAACTCGTCAGTAAAGACAGTAAAACAAAAACAGCAAAAAAAAGTAAATATAACTATATATATATAACACTGATATCGAATCGGATCGCGATTTATTGTTCAATGCTCGGTATTATGCAATTACCACTAGCAACACCAGAAATCTGGCGGATCGGTTCGTTGTCATCGTTGTCGTTGTCGTCGTGTGTGTGTTTGGGATGTGTTTGGTTCGAATGAAGAATCGTTACTATCCTCTGTACGGCAACCCATCGGCTTTTTATATGCGAATTTCTCGTATCACAGCTTCTTGCCCACATGAGCAGAAATCTTTAGATTCGCTGTGGTGGTGACGCTAGCCAAATACGATACGATTATCGCTAGTGTTTGTCCCCCCATCCTGATAAGACATCCAACTGGCTAAACCAATTTATGATATTGCGGAGCAGCTAAGACCAGAGAAAGAGCCAAAAAAGAAAGCATTTGATATGGGGTTAAGACCCTCACTCACTCTAGAAGCAATCAGTTTATTGCTTTGCTTAAGGAACTAAGCTCTAGGAGCCCCAAGATCCACCTAATGCCCATCTCTGTTTTTATACATTTTAGTGAATATTATTAAAAGAGTTGCCTTATGATGACTCAGTTGTCGTCGCTATCTCTAATATCTAACATTGTTTCCCGCTGGCCAATTGTTTTGACTTCTACTACCAAAAAATATACATACGTAATCTTAATCTTTAACGTCAAGGTAAATGTTGATAAAGCGGGCTGCGCATTTCCGTTGACTCGTGTCTTTGCTTTATTTGCACCCTCGGCAAAAGATAAATAAACACGAAGAACAGGCCCAATTTCTCTACATATCTCTTTGTTGTTTTTGGGGTTAATTTCACTCAATCCCGTTCCGGTCGTCGTGGGGTCATCAGACGACGATGATGGCAAAGAGTCATCATCTTAGAGTGCAGTTCCCCAGCGCCAAATGACGCAGGCGAATCTTAATCATCATCTTCATCCCGAGTACGATGTGCTGTCTGAAATGCACATCACATTTGGGGACAGATCTTGTCGCGATGAGATAAGGAGGCGTAGGAGAGATATCCAAACTCTATATATATTGTATAACCGTAGCCCTTGGAATTTACAATCGGAGGCCGGACACTTGACTGAAGTTTAAATATCACTCAAAAGTATAATCCACACGAGATATTGCATAATGCATTTGCAAACGTGGAGCTTAAGTTGTTGCAAATTGCAAAACAATCAATCATTCAGACTTTTTTCTATATACATTAGGTTGCAATGAAGGCAGAGCAAAAAAAAAACTGCGCTTTTTTTAATGTTTCAATTAAGAAATCCAAGTTTCGCTTGAAGCCCTCAATTATCATATGAAATGGATACACGTTACCTTTACTCCCTGGAGGTTGAAAGGTGCGCTTAACATCTGCCATGGATCCCATGGAGACCTGCCGCCACCGGCACCCTTTGAACTTTGCCTATTGCATACACACTTATGTACATACATACATAAATGCCCTTTGAGCCCTTTTGGCCTTGTGAATTCCATGAAAATTGAACAATTAAGTGGAATTTGCTTTATTTTTTTCCAGTTGTATTATTTTTATGCCTGCTCCGTTAATGCGGTTAAGCCCGGTTACAAAAAATAAAAATAAAATAAATAAAATAAAAATGAAAAATGGTAAATTCAATGCAGGCACAGTCACATTGCGGTTTTCATGTGTCTAGACAATACAATAAATACAGTTAGCCATATATATTTGTATTATCAAATATGTATACACTGAAAGGAAATTAAATACCTGATTGCATTTTGTAGTAATAGGATATAATTATTTAAAATATCACATAAATTATAAAGAACAAGAACATTGTAGGTCCCAAACTTATGACTATTCCCTTATCTAAGTTTGTTGTAGATAAGACTAATTTCTTTATGATTAAAATGTGATTAAAGTAATAACAAAATCACATTCTCGAATGTAAATTCTAATCGAATGTGCTCTTAAAATGTCTTATATATTATAAAAGAGTTTGTAAGGTTAAGGTGATACACTTATCAAAGTTTAGAGTTCAATTTATAGATTTCTGGGAAAATCATAAACATCACATCTTTGAATGTTACATTCTAAGTGAATATGTTTCAATACTTTCTTTTTTTCTCCTAATTTCCCTACACTTGCTTTAGTTTTATATTAGTTGATTAATTTCTATAACATTTTGTAGGCACATGGTATTTTTACTAGACACCCATCCAATCATTTTGTAATTTTAAGACTAAATCTGTATATTTATACCCTTTCAGGGTGTTATAATATTAGTCAGAAGCTTGTAACTCATGAAGTATCCATTTCCGACCATATAAATCATATATATTATTGATCAGCATGAGTAGCCGATTCGATCTAGCTATGTTTGGCAGAACAAAATTATTTTTGAATTTTTGTCGAATTTTTATGACAAAATTTTATTCTTTTTAAGTGTCAAAATTTGACAAAAATTTAATGTTTGTAAAATTTAAAACTAAGAATGCAGATTTGTTAATCTTATTAAAACTAGCTCAGAACAGTTTTCCGAATTGAAATTAATGCATTTTTGCCCGTGTTATGCATTTTTTAAACTTTGATTTATCGTAAAAATTTGCATATAAAAATATCACTAAATATCGGTTCAAAAATCGTATTTCAATTTTAGTCAGAAGCTTGTAACTCATGAAAGAGCAATTTCCGACCCTATAAATCATATATATTCTTGATCAGAATAAAAAACCGAATCAATCTAGCCATGTTTGGGGGAAAAATTTTTTTCGAATTTATTTTCGAAATTTTATAACTAAATTTTATATTTTTAAAGTTGAAAATTTGACAAAATTTTAATTTACTTTAATTTTCAAACTAAGTATGCAGATTTGTTAACCTTATTAAAACTAGCTCAGAACAGTTTTCCGAATTAAAATTAATGCCTTTCTGCTTTATTTATGAGTTTTTAAAGATTTTAAATGTGTCTTAAAAATGTCCTATAAAAATATCTATTCGTTTAAACTTAGGTGTGATTGATTTTCGATTCTATACTATAATTCAATTACTTCCCCAATATTTTTTATGCAAAGAAATCTCTTTGCAACTTGCGCTTATGTGTATAATTTGACAAACAACCCCATTTTCTTTCAGTGTCGAGTGTTGTATTTAATATTATGACTGCCAGAGTGGCCATCGATGAGAAACTTTCTGGCTAGGTGAGTGTGCTAATTCGCGTGGCACCCACTTGCCACTGCCAGTGGCACTTGCATATTGGCTGGAGTGGACCCAAATAGGCTTTGAGGTCGACTCCCGTGTTCCGGAACTGTCCAATGGGGGAAGGGATCTCCAGCCATGCAAATGAGGCAAGGCGACTACATTGGGTGGGCTCGAAAATTATGCAAGGGCGCAATGTGCTTCCCTTTTTGGGGCAGTCGGAGTCCTACTCCTATTCCTCTCCCTATCTTTATCTCTCCCTCTCCCTATCTCTTTCTCTCCCTCTCCCTATCTCTTTTTCTCCCTTTCTCCCTATCTCCTTCTCTCGCTGGCTTGGTGCTCCTCTACGCTTAATGTTGTTGGCGCTGCGGTCGCGGCTTTGGCGATGACGATGGCGATGGCGGTTTCAGTGGTGCAGCGGTGGCTTCCAGTGGAGCTCCGCGGCTCGACTCTCTTGCCTCATTGGCGTTGCACAAAGCGAGGCGGCGGCGGCGGCGGCTTGGCTAAATTTGCATAAATTAACAATGTTTCGCAATTCGCAGCCACTGATGCAGCGAATTCTTCGTTGGCAGTGTAGCTCCAGAGTGTGTATGAGGCACAACCGCGTGTGTGTGCGCGTTTTATTGATTTGATGCTCCAATGCACTTATTATCCCTCAGGCAGCCACTGGCACTGGCTGTTAATCCCCTGGCAATGCAACGCCATTTGCCACGCCCCTGCTTTCTATCCCAGTTCCAGTCGGCGACCCCCTCCAAAATGTCCAGTGAGAGGACACTGAGGAGGATATATGAGAGCATTAGGGTGTGCCACACACAGTTGATCGATTGCGGCTCATTAGGGCTTCATTCATTCAAAGGATATCGAATGGAGAAGGAGTTATGCTTTCCCGGAAACGAGCACGAATCGGAAACGGAAACGGAAACGGAAACGGGTCATCGTCTAAAGCTTGAAATAATATTTCTCTAGACACAAATATCTAAATCTAGTTCAAATTTCAGCTTAACCATGAGCTTGCAATTTGATAAAGTTTATTTAACTTCCGTGGCATAAACAAGGGAAAGTTTTTTGTCTACGTCCCATCTTTCGTCACATTATGTCTAATGTCTTAATCTTTTGGGTTATAAAGAGTCGCAGAATAATTACAAAAAAATAAAATTATAACTTAATGTGGTCACGAAAAGGGGGTTTTCTGGGAAAGAAAGCATTGATAAGAGTTATAAACTTAAGGCGAGAGCGATAAGGGAAAGTATTTTTGGGCCAAAAGCCTTTGCAAATGTTTGAGTGAATGTTTATTTTTAGGAATATAAATTTTCCAGGTAGAAAACGAAAAATATATGAAGAGAGATAAGTAGATTTAGTTTTTTTGTATTAAAATACAAACTAAGGATGTCAGAAAACAAGGATATAGAAATGCTTAAATGCTTAATGCTTAAAGCTCTCCTGAGACACCTGATTGGATAGGTTTTTCCCCTTTTCTAGAAAATGTAATCATCATTCTGTAAAATAATCAAATAGGAATGAATACTCTAAAACATAAAGATATGTTTAACACATTTATAAACATTTTATATCTATTTTATGCTATTTTTTAATAACAAAAAAACATACGTCTGCGAAGATTCTCCACCTGTAATTCCAACCTTTGTTCCATATGTCTGTCATTTATAACTTGAAACAAAATTCAAATTAATTGTTGGAATCTTTCGTTGCTCAAATTTTAAAACAAAATTCACGAGTTAAGCAAAATTCTCTAGTTATGGCGAATTTGGAGGACTCGATGAAACCGGAGATGAGCAAAAATCCGGATAACACACCCACGGTTTCCACCGGCACCACACCGGATGACACTTGGTGTCTCATCGAGAGCGATCCGGGTGTATTCACCGAACTGATACGCGGCTTTGGCTGCACCGGTGCCCAGGTGGAAGAGATCTGGACACTGGATGCCCATGCCTTCCATCTGCTGGAGCCCATACATGGCCTAATCTTTCTGTTCAAGTGGGTGCAAGACGATAAGCCGGACGGACGGGTGGTTAGGAATTGCAAGGACGTGTTCTTTGCCCGCCAGGTAATCACGAATGCCTGCGCCACCCAGGCCCTGCTCGGCATCCTGCTTAATCTCCAGCACACGGACATTGATCTGGGCGAGACGTTGACTACGTTCAAGAACTTTTGCCAGAGCCTGGATCCGGAAACCCGTGGCATTTGCCTGGGCAATGAGGAAAAGATTCGAGCGGTGCACAATTCCTTTGCCCGTCCTGTGCACTTTGAGGTGGAATTGCCGCAGCTTCCGTCGGATGAGGATGTCTATCACTTTGTGGGCTATATGCCGATCAATGGACGTCTCTATGAGCTGGACGGTCTGCATGAGGGTCCCATCGATCTGGCCGAAATAAAGAGGGGCCAGAACTGGCTGGATGTGGTCCGTCCCATTATCGAGGCCCGAATGCAACGCTACAGCGTCGGTGAGATTCATTTCAATCTAATGGCCGTGGTATCGGATCGCCAGCGTTGCTACGAGCGTCAAATCCAATTGCTTGTCCATCAGCCATCGCCAACGCTGAGTCTCGCCGAGAGGCAGGCGGAGATTGCCAACCTAAGGACCTATGTCAAGTTCGAGATGGAGAAGAAGCGACGCTACCGACAGGAGAATCAGCGTCGTCGCCACAACTATCTGCCCTTCATTATGGAGTTGCTGAAGCAGCTGGGCGAGACGAAGCAATTGATGCCCATCTACGAGAAGGCCAAGCAAAGGGCCATTCAGTACCAGCTGCAGCAGGATCTGTCCCAGTTTGGCCAATATCACTGATCGATCTCCAGGTTATGTGCCCTAATTTTCAATATGAAACAATAACCCATTCGGCCTGGAAATTACCAGAAACTTGGTCTAAATTATACATTGAAATATGGCTCGTATTGAGCTTATCAAATTAAATCTAAAAAGGTTTATTGACCCCGTACATAACACCTTTAAAAGGCTTAAATAAACAGGGCTTATCAGCACTTTTCTGGATTATATTATAGTTCCCTGCACAACAATCTTTTTATTCTTTTTAGAGAGCGAAACATAATTAAAGTTAAATAGCAAATCGATGGCACATAAGATTTTCAGATTTGCAAAAAGTGTACAACGATAAGATAGTGTTATCTTTCCCTGAGAATAATCTCAGAAATGTTTGCCGCATTGTGGAATTTTATAAAGGGATTTATAGGGTATTAAATAGCTCCCAAGATAATACCCTTAAGTAAGTCTGAAAATAATTATATATTATAGGAATATAACAAGAAATATATCGTATCAAAAGTTATATAAACTTTGATTAATAATTAAAAAATATCAATACCAAAATTCAAATGTAATAAGAAAATATTTAGCAAATATATCATTGATAAGATCATTTTATCACACATTTCTATATAAAGCAAAATTAAACTATAGATTAATATATAGATATATCGCTTTAATGATATTTTCTGCTCATCCCTAACATAATATATATAAAAACCCAAAGTGTCGACTTCAATTGCTCTTCCCTAAGAATTATGACAGATTTCAATTTTTGGGATTGCTCCTCCTTATTTCAATTTGCATTTTACTGCAGTTTGCAGTCCCCACTCTTCCTCTCTCTTCTCTGTCTGTCGCTTTGATAAATGATTTCTTTTTAATGCTTGGATAGACTCAACTTAACGGAGAGCAGACTGGTCTAAACCCAGCAGATCCTATCATCAGCTTCAGCTTCAGCTTCAGTATCATCCGGCTGAGGTGGGCCTCTGGACGTCGCGCTTATTTGTTTATGTTGCACAAAGTAAACAACTAATTTTAATTTGCCGCAGGAGCCGCACAGCCAGGACAAGATGAGGACTACGATGACGATGACGACGACAAGGACAGTGACAACGGCGATGGCCAAGGGCACTGGCAAGGATTCTGTGTAGTAAGAATAATAACCGATATTGAAAATACCCTACAAGGATAACCAAGGTAATGAACTACTTTATTTGTATATATTTGCTATACATTTTATTTATATTTATGCTTTTTTATAGACTAATGTTTTGGCTTGCTGATTCCTCATTCTGTTGACCAAAAAGTGAATCAATTATGGTTATTCCTGGAGAGAGTATACAGGAAAGGTGCACATGAATCTAAGGATGTTGTTTGCTGGCAAACTGGCTGCCATTAAAAGGGAAACATACATTCGCATACACAGACGGCGGCCAACAAACCGCAAAATAACCAAAGACATTCCAACGTCCGTTTCCCCCCTTCAATTTTATCCCAAAACTGGATTTTCCTTTTGTTACATTCGTGGCTCTGTTTTCATTTATTCTTTCAACTCGTCGGTGGACATATGTAAATATGAGTGCAGCAGCAGGAGGAGCAGGAGCAGGAGCAGGAGGAGGAACAGGAACAGGAGCGGAGCAATCATAACAAAAATGCTGCACACTCAAATTATCCCTAAATAATTTAGTTTTCTGTGTGTGTGTGTGTGTGTGTGGGCGTGGCGTAAGTTTTACCTTTTTTTTGGGAGAACGACGAATGCCAAGCAGATTTTGGTTTCAGTTTCGGGTTTGCTTATCTTTCATTTCATATTTTTTAGCGGCAAGAGGCGGAAAACATGAAAGCGGAAGCGGAAGTGCTTACCTATACACATACACACACACACAGGATTGTGGGGAATTCCTGCCTCTACTCAGCTTTAAAATATGTCCACAGGTGCACACACACACACACTAGGACACACACTCGCCGAGGGAACTGCTCTGGAATTGACTTTCAGCTTTTGACTTGTATGCCAAACGAAACAAAAACACACAAAATGTACCATTAGCGAGGGCGGTAAGTGGACTTTTTTATGAATAAATAGTACAATTAAAAGTACATGTTTAATTGAGGAAATTAGCAACCAAAAATTATGTTTTAAATTAAGATATAAGCTTTTTTATTAATAAATAGTTCAATTAAAAGTACCTGTTTAAAAGAGAAAGTAACACCCTACAATTATGTTTAAAATTAAGATAAAAGCTTAGTACATGAAATTTTAAAGGAATTGCTTTAACATATGCATTTTCAAGTGGAAAAAACAACCAGAAAAACATGCTTTTATATTGAAATTGTAGCAAAAATAGTTATTATCTTATAATCATTCCCTAGAATATTATTAAGGTTTCATTTCTCATCACAAAATATCTATATATAATAGATTCCTAGTATTAAATCAGTAAATAATCCTCTTAATTTCACCTTTTTATAACCTATATGTAACCTCTAAACATAATCATTAAAGTTATGTGGGGTTTAGCTTGATTATCATAACAATTTATGTTTAATTTGTAGCATTACATATTTTTGTATGCTACAACTTTGCTAGCTACCCTCGCTCGCCTGGCTGCGTTTAGTGCAAAAGGCTAATTGAAATTTGCCATTAATAATGCAAAAAGGTCTCGGTGAGAAACTTTTAGGGCCACCACGACCCCTTGAGCCTCTACCTTTTCACCGTTCCCCCTTCCCCTCTAGCCTCTACAAACCACACACACACACACACACACACTCCTATACACTCGCATATGTGCCATGTGTGTGTGCGTGCCATTTTAAATATTTGAAATATTTGTAACATTTGCGCGGTGGCTGCTTCCACTTGCTTGCAAGTTAAGGAGGAAGTGGAAGTGGAAGTGGAACTGGGTGGGGCTGGTGTAGTGGAAATGGAAGTGGAAGTGGAAGTGGGGACAACCACCGGCTCGGCCTTGCCATTTACCGCACGCCAAAAACATCAACATCAGCGGAAGAGAACAGAACGGAACAGAACGGGTCGACGGACAAGGTGAAACAGAAGCGCAGGTGAAGTGGGTTTTCAAAAGAGCTCTGACAAGTTGGCTATTTTATAGACAAATTGGAGAATATATATTCTAGATTTATTCAATTGAAATATTGACTAATTCTAGCTCTAAAATAATTAAGGTTTTACAAGAAGGTTGACCCTCTTTTGAAACGTTTTTAAAGTTCAAGCAAGACCTAATCTTTCTTGAAAGATATTTGTATATTGTTTAGTTTACAAACCTTAAAATTCCCAACTACGAATTCTGCAAACAGGTCCATAAAGTCAAAAAAAAAATAAAGAAATTTAAAAAAACTAAAAAATATCTTGTCTTTAGACAATTTCTTGTAAATTTTTCCCAACTTAATACTTGGTAAATAATTCAGCAAACAAAATTTGTTGACCTTTAAATTGAAATTTTTTTAACTTAGATTTACCGATATTCATCCATGTTATCAAGAGCTTTATTTAATAACTATATAATCTAGTTATTTCATCATTTAAGCTCCGTAAACTCTTTCTCAAGAGTTAGTAAAGAGTCTAGAATGTCAGAATTCATACTCATCAGTGGTCCTACCTTTCAAGTAACTCATAAAACCTATCCTAAACTCTTTAAACATTTCAATAACTAAAACTATCCCATATTAATATAAAACTTGACTTTTTTTAAGCAGAGAAAGTGGCCATCACTGGCGGTGGAATGTGGTAAATTCCCGAGTCCCCTGTCCCATGTCCCATGTCCATGGCCTGTGGCATGAGATGGCCTGCTGAGGTGGATCGCCTCGTGTGTGGGGGAGTACTTGCTTATTTTCTGGTCCGTCAGCCGCCGGTGATGTCGACGTCACCGTCACCACATGTAAAAATGTAGCCCATCCCACACGCCCACCCCCTGCTTTTGTTTCTTGTTTCCATTTTTTCGGTACTTCGTTTATTTTTTGCTCCTCTTCCCTTCCTTTTTTATGAGAACTTGTATGTGACTGTGATTTCGCGAACTCTGTGACTGTCCAAAAAAGAAAAGAAAGAAAACGAAGCCGGGAAGGAAAATGAAATGGGAAATAAATGAAAGAGGGTGAAGTGCTGAGGGGTTGTTGAATAAACCAAGCACATGTTCAAGATGGAATGCTCGAAAATATGTTTTGCGGGGCGGAGAAAATGCAAAGCCAGTGACAATACCAAAAATTGTAAAGGGCCAGAAATCACTGATCTCTCGGAAAACTTAAAAAGATTCCACAAAGTTGGAGGAAGTTTTTCAAAATTCTAAAAAGATATATGGAATATTTATGGAAAAGATTTGATTTCTTGAGAGTTTTTCTACTTATTTCATTGAAATCATCAAGTTTTTATAGTCTTTATGACTCTTTTTTATTCTCAACCAAAAGCTAAGTTAAAAAAAAGTTGTAACCCCATTTTTTCTATATAAAAAATCACCTTTTTGAAATGGAATTAATTATTAACAATGGATCTCTTTGTGGTTTATCGTTGATCTGCATTTGAATGTTTAGCAAATTGAATAACAAAATCGGTTCTAACGGTTGCTGGCATTGTCTTTTTCTTTATTATTTATTTCTTACTTACTTTCCATTTGTTTTTTTTTTTCTCGTTTTCGTTGATTATTTTACAAAACAACAAGGACAAAAACATAGAGAGAGAGAGAGAGAGAAAGCCAGACTATGGACATGGGTATAACTGGAAAGGGAAACACGGTAAAAAATCCTTATATATATATATAAAGTCGGGGGAAAATCTCTCGAGGCTACTGAAAACTTCGTTTCTTTCTGCTATCCGTCGCCCTCGCCTTGATCCTTCCATCGTCCTTTACCTTGGGCAGTCGTACGTAGTACATTTCTTATGCTTGTGCCGCTCCTTAGCTTTGCGCCTTGGCGTCCCAGCGTCCCAGAGTCTTGGTCCCCAGTTGCCCATCGTCCTTTTCTTGTTTCCCCGCCCATCCACATCCACATCCTGTCCTTGTCCTTGTTCCCGCCATATCTTTCAGGTCGCGCGTTATCCTTGCACACCGCCGCGCCGTCTCTTTCGCAGTGGTTTAAACACATGAAACAATTATAAAGTTGCCAAGAAATGTAAACCCAGGGAGAAAACAATTTAATTGAATTTAACCAGGGGCTTGTCATATCCTAATGGATTTAAAACAACAACCAGGAGCAACCGCAACTACAACAACAGTCACTACATCAAATACAAATAAAAAGCAGAGTGGAAGGA